TTTTGTTTCTTAACTCGCTGTTTCCCAAACTGTGGTCTGTGGATATGTTTATGTTCCTGGGTGCCCATAACAAAAAAAAATTTTAAAAGATTTGTGCACTATCAAATTTGAGAAACATTTATATTGTTATACCTGCTCCCAAAGAAGAAACTTTGAGAGACCCCCTTCCAACCCCTCTCTTTCCTTCTCTTCAGATATTACCTAAAAAAAAAGACGAAAGCCATGGACCCCCTCTCCTAAAAAAGTGTGCATCTTACAGGTTTTTAATGGTTTCTATAACACTGGAGCCAAAAAACCACTCCAAGTTAAGAACCACAGAGTCTACACTAAAGAATAGCAGTTTCCTAATCTAATACGAAATATTTTAATGCTTTAAGGCCCATGATCTTCTATTAGATTGTCTTTTTAGACAATCTGTTGTCTAAGAAATATCACTTAGAAATGTACACTATCATGAATTGCCAGCTATCATCTATGACAGTATTTCCCAAAATGTGTTCTGGAGAGTAATGGTACAGGGAGATGTTCTGTGAAGAAAAATAAATATAGAAACACATTCTGTAGTCCATATAGTGGATTGAACCAAATGAAATTACCATTTGGAGAAAATTTCAAATGGTTCAAACTAACAATATTTGACTGTATCAATAAAGTTAACGCCTACAGTTATTTTCTTCTGCCCATAATCTTGCTAAACAATTCATTTGAACTTATGTTGTTGCCAGTGAATATACTAGCAATTTTACTTGGTCAAAAACCAAACTGATGTTTTAAAAAAAAATCAATCATTTTGCTTTATATGACTCAGCCAGCTACTAAGACAGCTTGCATAATTAAGCCTGACAGTCCTAAATCAAATCTGAGATAAAACAATGCATGGTGAGTAGTAAAACCAATATTTGCAAGAGTGATGGGATGGGGGAGAGAGCAAATGTTTCCCCAGCACTCCTGCATGTTACGGGAGCACACAATGAAAGGTTAAAAGAGCTGCAATATATTTTGCACACTGTAGTGGCTATTGATACTGAGAACCTTTTAGAAGTTCACCTCTACCATTCAAACAGTATAGACCACCATCATCTATTTATTACATTTTAATAGGAATTCTATATGAATAGATTTTATTCCATTGTATTTGTCGTATGTCATTATCTGGGTCATATCTCTTGTTAGAAACACTGTTTAGTCCATCCAGCCTCGATATGAATAGAAAGCTTTTACCACATAAGGTCAGTTTGTTCTGTTTGGGGGATGGTGTAATGCAACCAACTACAAAATAAGCCAATGTAATATTAATTCCCATTTCACCAACCTTATCAGTAGAAATTAAAGATACTAACTAAAGTATGTGTAATAATCAGGATTTTGTACTAGTCTTCAAATAGCGCCATATACATATATATATATATATAATATATACACACACAGACATATATATAATATATATACACACACACATATATATAATATATATATATACACACACACACACACATACACACACACATATAAGTATATATGTATAATATACAAAAAATATTCATACTTTTTTTATTAAAGTGCAGAAGATAATTTTTATGGTTTTCTTTATGGCTTATTTTCATTATTTTACCATTCGATACACGAATTTGTACCTTGTTTCCAAGATACTAAGTAATTGTACATGTCTAATCTACCAACAATAATTTAGGCACAGAGTACACACAGAGTCAAAAATGGGATGTAATTTCATTGCTGCTAGTAGCTCAAAACAAGTACTTTGGTCTAATAGATGGTATTAAGAAGATATTTCTCAACTTTAATTTCAGGCACACTAGAGTAATTGTTTCCTTGGTTTTCTGAAACGTAATTGCTACATAAATTTAGGATCAGACTAGATCACAGAATGAGAAGTACAGAAAGGCTTTTAGAATATTGGCAATTTATCTGCAGAAAAGAACACAAATATGTGGGATTCTTTTTACCCTGTATGTATTAAATCATAAATGATGTATAATGTATTAAATCATAGTGTGGCTGTGACATTAACTGACAATGAATTCTCATAAATAACTTTTTTATTTTCCAGCTTGTATTCTATTCAGAACATCTATTTTTTAAGTTATACCTCAGAATTTATTATTGTTGATATCAAATATGTAATGTCAGAACTAAGGTTTTATGAATCCATATTTTGTGAACACAAATTCGTTCTATAAAATGTTAATCTTATAAGTTTTTAAATCATTTTTAAAGTTTTCTGAAAAAAGCCTAGTATTTAACAATGTACTAATTTATTTTTCCTAGCCCGTAAAGAAGTACACGACTATTTCAAAAAATTCTACATACGCTAAGCATGTGAAAACAATGTCCTAGGTTAAAATTTTTCTCAAGCCTACCTCAGGTACCTTAGCCAAACCGACTGGGAAAGGGTGAGAAGTAGACACATGAGAATTATTTATCTTCCTCTGCTGAAATTCCCTGACTTGTGTCTTCCAAACGGGGAAAGAACTGCCTTTTTTTTGGCAACAGAAAACTCATTGATGGGAAGCTGTGTAAAAGAACTAATAGAAAGCATTGAAACCAGTTAATCATATTGTCTTAAAAATTTTGGCGTAAATTTATAAAATTGAATACAAATAGCAACATTATTGTTGAAATAGAATATAGATGACACATTATTCCTGAGATTCTCTCTCCCCAAATCAGTTTTCTTAAAAAACCATGTCCCTAAAAAATACATTAAAATTTTTAGCACCTGAAGATTTAAAATACCACTTATTAGTTTAAAATTATAGTAGACCAGAACTCAGATTCTACTCATTTCTTATTCATCAAATGTGCTAAATCTTTGAACGTAGTTTTTACCAGCTTTAAGTAAGCAACAAAAAAAGTAGCACAGAAGCAGTAGGGGGAGAGGGCATGGAGTGACAAATCAGGTGTGGCTGGGAAGGGAAAGGGTTCTATACTCCTCTCTGCCCCCAAACAAGGGAGACCTCTGCACATAGGTCCCCTGCCATCTCCCGTGTCGTTAGTATTACTGAGGATCTACTAATAATTTAACTACACAGAAGAGACGGGTACATTTTGGTATCTACCTTTATGACTTAACCACACGGCTTTTAAGAAATGTTCTTTGGTAAATTCTGAAACTGCACATTCCATTCCAGATTTCCACTAGACAGTCTCAACCCAGTTCTTTCAATGTCTATTTCTAATAAGTGGACAAGCCAGTACCCATGGACCTATCTTTTTTGGAAAAAAAAAGAGAAGACAGTGATCTCAATAAAATAAACTTATTAGCTTAGGCAATAATTTTGATTTTACACATTTACAACTACAGATGTGCAAAGGTATGATCCACATTCAATCATGTGAATGTCAATCTACTTCATCATAGGAAAATGCTAAAATAAAGAATTCTCCATTTGAGGTGAGAAATTGTATGAGTAGAACATTGTATTTATACCAGCCAGTAATTTAAAGTTTACTGTAAAATAAGGTGGGGATGATTAAAATTTTATTTCTCTTCTAAGTAAGAGATAATAGGTCCTCCTCTTAACTCCAGACAGATGTAGTTGACAAAATATAGCTGATAACCATGTGAGATGTCACAGATACGATTTGAATAGACATTTTATTTCTTCTTCCTTATCAACCCCACATCCTCACTACTACTCCAAACAGTACTCTCTGAAGTTCCAGAGCGAATGGCCAAAAAGTTGGAGTAGTGTGATTACCCTGAAATCTATATAGACTAAGAATAAATCTTGCAATTAATCACCTGGGGTGGGGGGTACCTGTTAAAAAGAGTTTTCTGGCTCTCCGCTCAGATCTACTGGATTTGAAAGTGGGATAAAGTTCAAGAATGTGCATTTTTAATACACTATCCAAAACTTAGATGTTAATTATAGGTGATTTCCAGGCACCCTAGTTTTTAAAACCCTGAATTAAGTATAAGGAGGAAGGCAAATTGACTCTCAAGTGTTTAAGGTAGGAACTTAATTGAAACCAGATATCAAATGGTATCATTCAGCTGTTTCTTCAGATATTAAATATCTACCATCAGATGCCAATACTTGAGGTCCAGAGGTCCAGAGGTTTTAAATGGCACGGTGATAACAACTTGTTGATTTACCATCACTGGATGATAATGTCTTACTCTTTCCATTCTTGTAGGCTTTTTTTTTTTAGTGCTTCTAGATATAATCTCATCTAACTCTGACAATAGTCAATCGACCAGAATAAGACTGTGCCATAATCTATGAAGGTAACTCCTAATGAGAAGTTGAAAAAACATTTCAGGAATAAAAGACTAGGAAGCGCCAATTTAGTAGAAAGTGCTGATCTGAGAATCAAGAAAACTAGGCTCAACTCCTTGCCATCCGAGTGACCTACGTTCCTTAACCCTTTATGCTCCTCCTTACTTATTAAATGAGGACTAGTTTAGACTTCTAAGCCTCCCCAGCTCCTAAAATTCCATAATTTCCCTTACATTTACATTTCATGATGTAAAATACTACTAACTGGTCATTTAATTATAAACTCTGAATTCAGTCATTAAATATTTTTTAAGCACCTAATCTGTGCTAGGCATGTGAGAATCTGGGAAACAGATATGGAAGACGTATTGATTATCCTAGTAAGGGGTCAAATACATTTTATTGTAAATAAATATTTTATTGTGAATAATCCTTGTGGTCCTTTTAAGTGGTTAAATAGTAAAGTATGCTGAATAGTGACCAAATGGAAATCTGCATAAATAATAAAAAGTTTGCTTATGCATGATGAATAAATATTTGCTTTCATTACAGTCATAGCTTCTACCAACACGTTAGCCTTTCCTTCCCTTCTCTGTACCCTTGTCTTGTTTAAAAAATAAATGAGAACATTTAAACTCCCTGGTAAATTGCATTTATAATTAAAAACAATTTCCACAGTATGAGTTTATAAAAATACTTTATTTTAAAGACTCTCAATAGGATTTCAACATCTTATTTTCGTATATACCAAGAAGATAATCAATATATTCAATATATTTTAATACATGATGAAAGTTGCTTCAGATCTACTATTAAACCTATACATATTGCTTAATAGAGAAGGGATGGCAAAAGCATGGATTCAAAGTTTTAATTAAATGTTACATAACTGGATTTTCTCACCACAAATTTAAAGTGAAACTTTCATATGGATACAATTTCACAAAGGTTACAAATATATATCAACTTACAACTAAAGGAAGTATTTACTATTTCTCAATATTGTAAAAATCTAACTCCATAATTACTTCCTTTAAAGAAAAAAATTCTTCTCATATTAAAAAAAAAAATCCTCACACAGTATAAAAAGTCCACATTTCTCTGGAAATGCATACATTCACCTAATAGTAAGATCCAAAATGAGAAGAATTACTATCTCCAGAAGAGGTGGGGGGAGGCAGGGGCGGAGGGGGAGGAGGTGGGGGTAAGGAGTATGGCATGGGAAGTAGTGGATGAGGTGCCATGTTAGGTACTGCCCAACCCATGTTTACAGAAGGTGGTGGTGGAGGTGGAGGTGGCAGTGGAGGAGGAAGTGAAAAATTATGCATGTCGAACACTGGCGGAGGAAAGGGATACTGCGGCACGACGAGATTATCTTGTCTCTGAGGCGGAAACCCTGACGTCTCCAGAGACCCATGTTCTGAATTATAGAACTGTGGCGGAGGGGGCCTGCCGCGGAACCGGCGAGGATGCCCGCCCCGGGGAAATCCTCGTGTGAATTCTCTGTTGCGATAGCCTTTTGAATGCTCTGAAGCAGCGCCATGGGCATTCCAATTCTGATGTACTTCTGCGAAATTTTCACCTTTGAGCAGCACAAAAAAAAAAAAAAAGAATAAAAATAAAATTAAAAATCTTAATACATCAAAAAAATACATCAATAAAAGACTAAATATCATTTAGAAAAAAGTGCAGCTCGCTGCCCGTGTTAATTTAACGTCATGCGTAGGAATGCTATGTTTTCTAGGATTTGCCATCGGTGAGTATTCTCAGGGCAAATGGGAAATGGGTTAAAATTTCAATAATGCGTTTTCTTTAACTTCCAGTATATCTTATGGTAGTTATAAAAGTGTAAGGCTTAAAATTATCAAATTTAAAGACTCCAAAATGCCAGTGAATAAGGAAAGGGAAAGTCTAGCAAAACAGACTTTTAGACAATAACCACTCATCCCCAGCCGGATGCCACAGAGGAAACTGGACCACACCCCCAGTCACACTTCCAAAGGCTGAATGGGGACCCTAGAATGCCACCTTTGACCGACTGACCAACTGTAATGAGATGGCTCCCACCAGAGTGGTGTCAGAGGCGGCTGAGCAGGAAGCCAGTCACAAGGCCTCTCTGAGATGACATTGGAGGTCACGTGGGGAACCTGGGCTTCCACCTCTGCTGGCAGTAACATATTGTTCTTCCACCTCCGCCCTGGGTGGTGTCAGAGAAAACCTAGTAGAGAGTCAGGGCTTTCCTCGCCACCCAGAGGTAACAAAGCCGTCCCCCATGAGTGTCAGGGTGGCACTGGACGTCTAGCTCTACCCGATAGTAATAGTAATGAGGTGATACCCTCCTCCTTCCCTTCCCCGTCAGAGCAGTTTGAAAAACAAAACTGCCAAAATAGAAAATTTAAATAAGAGCTAGTGTCTCCTAACGTAATACCCAATATGTCCAGGTTTCAATGAAAAATCACTCATCATACCAAGAAGATTCCAAATTCAATGAAAACAGAAAACTAATCGAGGCCAATACCAAGATGACAAAAGACGTTAGAATTATCTGAGAAATATTTTAAAAGTCATCAGAAAAATACTTCAACAAGAAATTATGAATATATTAAAACAAATAAAAATAGAAAGCCTAAGCTATAACAAACAAAAAAAGATACAAAGAAACAAATAGAAATTTTAGAACTGAAAATTCAATAGAACAGTTAAGATGTCAATTCTCTTCAAACCAATATACAGGTTTAATGCAAATCCTATCAAAATCCCAGCAAGACTTTTTGTCAATATAGAGATTATTCTAAAATTCATATGGACAGGCAAAGGAGCTAGAATAGCTCAAATAATTTTGCAAACTTTTGGAAAAAAAATAGGAGAAAATCTTTGAGATGTAGATAGAATTAAGAAATTTTTGGATTCCATAAAAGGAAGTTTGATAAAATGGGTTTAATCAGAATTAAAAACTTTTTTTCTGCAAAAGACCATTTTAAGAGGATGAAAACACAGGCTAAAGACTAGAAGAAATTATATACGAACTCGTAATTCAAGAGTTAAAAAACAGAAATACAATTAGATAACAGAAAAAAGACAAATACATCACGGAAAAAGATATATAGATAGCAAATGAAGCATTAGGAAAATGCAAGTTAAAATCACAGATATCGTCACACACTATGAGAACAGGTAAAATAAAAAATAGTGACAACACTAAATGCTGGTGAGAATGTAGAGAAACTGAGTCACTCATACATCAGTGATGGAAAGGTAAAGTAGCACAGCCACACTGAAAAACATACAACCATCATATAGTCCAACAATTCCACTCTTGGACATTTATCTGAGAAATGAAAATGTGTTCACACAAAAACCTGTACACACACGTATAAAACAACTTTATTCCTATAACCAAAAACCATTAACAACCCAGATGTCCTTCAATGCACGATGGTTAAACAATCTGTGGTATACTCATATTGTGGAATACCGTAACTCTGGAGAAATTTGACACATACAACAATCTAGATGAATTTCCAGAATATTATGTTCAATGACAAACGCCAACTCCGAATGGTAACATATTATATGCTTCCATTTATCTAAGCATTCTTGACATGACAAAACATACTGCAGAAATACGGAACAGACTACTGGTTGACAGGAGCTGAGGACGAGTTAGGGAGGAAAGTGTGAGTGATTAACTATAAAAAGGCAACATGAGGGATATTTCTCTGTGGTGGAAATGTTCTGAATCTTGATTGTATCAATATCAGTATCCTGGTTGTGATATTTTACTGCATAGTTTTGCAAGACATTACTATTACAGGAAACTGGGTAATGGGCATACAAAATCTCTCTGTATTATTTCTTACAACTGCATATAAATCCTTAAAAAGTTTAGTTTTAAAGAAAGGAAAAATGAAACAGAAAAGGAATAATAAAAGAAAAAGCATGTTAAAAAATAAAATACCTTCCTTGATTTAGGTATTAAGTACCATATCATTTAATTCTAAACAGGAAGCAAATATGTTTAAGAAAAAGTGCTCACGAGTACAAATGACTCTAACAAAGCTTAAGTTTGCCTTTTACCCCTTAGTTAGCCATTTTTACGTCATTAAGTTTGAAAAACTACCAGTGAATATTCCTTGTTACTCTCTCCCACCACATTCCATGTGTAAAATGACTCCAGTGCTGGCTGGATGGCCGGAGGTAAAAAAAAAAAGCCCACATGTTTCCTTCGGTTTTATTACTGATGAACTTAAATACACATAAGTGAAGATAAAAAATTACTATATATCGCATTTACTCACCTGATTCATTAAATTCAGATTTGAACTTTTTCCGGCCTTGAATCTGAGTTTTTTTCCTCTGTCTAGCTTCTTTTTCCTTTTCGTCATCACTGAAATCTAAGGCCTGACAGAAAAATATAGATTTATGTCACATGAATTCAATGGTACGTACTTGGAAGTGAGAAGAATAAGCCTATTTATTATTTGACACTGACCCTGGAAAATACTCTTTTTGACACTAAATATTTTCCAGTAATATTTGAATTACATAAGATAGAAAAACAAAGTATTTTTTGATAAATGCCTAAAGACTCTTAATTGACACAGTCCAGTAATCAGATGAATACTCAAGGCTTTTTTGGTTGTTGTTATTGTTTTTTTTAATTCTTAGAAAGCTTCATAGATAACTTTAAAATGCCAATCTTAACAATCTTCAGATATGGCTATTCGTTAGCTAGAAGTCTGACTTCGAACTTAAAGTCAAGATTCATCATAGTGCCAGCTGCCAAAAATGCTAAAGAAAAGACGAGTTAGGAACAAGCAAATAACATAAAATATCAGATCTAATATAAAAATAGAAGAGAATTTTATACCTGTCATTCATTCAAAAATTTACACATGCTAATTATATTCCAGGTACTGTTCTAAACATTTAATAGGTATTAATTTTTTATTAATATAATGTTGAGTATAGAAAAGGCGATAAATAAATAATGAGGCAAAGTAAGGGTAGAGAAAATCACCAGGGATGTTATTTAGATAGGACTGCAAGAAAATGTTTGACAAGTAGATACAAGCATGACCCAACTTCCAAGGGGAAATCATTTTAAATTACAAGAGGAAAAGTCAGATATAACTAAGAATTGAGATTCGCTGTTACAATCTACCAAAAAAACAAGATTTATAAGCTACATATGTTATAACTTCTACGATTTCTTAATATTCAGGCATTTTATTATTCTATTAATAGAATACAGATATTAAGTTTCATAAAAATATATGAAAGCAGGCTCACCGTTTATGTATGTATGCACATTTTAAAAGAAGACATAAAATGTATAAGTCTTTGTATGGGATTTTCAGTAGGGTACTGCTGAAATATATTCTAGATCAAATCTTTCATGAAATGAAACATCTCAGATCTATAATCAAATTTGAAAACATCAACTGATTTTAGTACCTTCACATACATGATTTTTTATTACTGATCTTAATGTGTTAAGATGTTTAAGTTCTGGTTAAGTCTGATATCTACCAGTTGAAAGTACTGAGATCAGATGGAAAACATTTCCTTCTCTGAAACTGTTCAGTGAATGAGAAAATAGATAAATAAATAAATCAATGAACAAGTGCTATGATTTAGTGCTATGGGAATATAAAGCTGAAGAAAGAGAAAAAAGGGCAAGGGAGACTTGGTATGGGTAACCCAAGATAAATCTCTAATGATGAGTTAGCAGTGAAAATAAATAAAAGGAAATATCCAAGAAGTAGAAATGTGGAGAGAGGAACAGTATAATAGAGAAATGAAATGGTTCTGCATGGCAAAGTGAAAGCTTCTTATATAGAAAAATCAGAGACAATGTAATTAGAGAATAAAGAATCTTATTGTGCCTTTTTAAATAAATGGGCATCATTCTAAGGGCAGAGAGGAGGTATTAAAGGATTTTAATTGGCAACAGTTAATTTAGAGAGACTATTTTGGCAATATTTTGCTATCACCTCCTAAAATAAAAAAAAATTCACATTAAACATATTTATTCAACTACAAATTAAATACTCACATTAGAAATGAATAAATAATTATTAGCTCTTTTATGTAAGCCTAACACTTTCTATTTTCACGGCATGATTTTTCAAGAAAGTTTAAACACCATGAATTCCAAATTCTAATATATGGTCAACACCAGGCAATAATTCTAAACTACAAAAAGTCATTATAATAAAATAAACTTTAGACTCTCAGAGTTTTGCATATTATGGAAATAAGGGACAGATAACCACTTAGAAAAAAATTCTATTAAGTATGTAGAGGTTTACTTTTATAATTAACCTAATCAAACCAGTACCATAATTAATAACTTCAATGCTTAGGTCTGAAACAACAGAGATATATAAAAATATCTGCATTTCACAAGAAATATCTTTCAAGATATTCCTTTGTGAAGTTTTGAATATTTTAAAAGCATGTAATTTCAGTAATAAAATACTCTAGAGATAATGAACAACATTATGAATCTTCAGGGCCTTATGGAAATCATGTGTACTAGAAAATATACTCCCATGGCAATGTGGATACTAAACTTAGTCACTCACTTGTTAAGTGACCCTCTAAAGACAGCATTACTTAATTCATGCCTCAGTAAAATTAGAAATTAACAAAGACTGTGAATCTTCAACATTGTGTGAGAGCATCTAAAACGAATAGTTATATCTACAAATATCAAAAATTTATAATACTGAGAAACTTCATCAGAACTACTGAGCACATATAAAAACTCTTACTAATAAACTATATTTTTTCTTTCATATTGTATAAATTCATACTATTTTTAAGGAATGTATACACTCGTTGCTCTAATGTTACTATTACTATAAAAATAGTATATCTTAAAAACTTAAAAAGAAAGAAAATATGCTTAAACATCTCCATGAAAAATTAAATCAAATAATCCTACAGATTATTCCTGACACTAGTCCACATCTCTAGAAACACTATGGGACATAAAACTAGTCTTGCTGACATAGATTCAAAAAAGAAAATCAAGAACTCTCTTTTTAAGAAGGAAATTATATTGTAAAAACTGGAGAATTAGGTAGATTCTAATGCTTTTGTACCTCCAAAAGAAAGGCAGCATATTAAAAGCACCATTAATAAATGTCTTCATGTCTCACATGGTGAAATTACTAAACTGAAGAATAACATTTTTAAAAATAATGACAATTCTGCCTTTATCAGTTGTCCAAAAAAGTGATTAAAAAGGTAGGAAATTACAAGGACAATGACAAGCTGATAATTATTAAAATGTGACTGAAAATATTTTTTTTAAATGATCAACCAACAATTCTTATTGAAAGGCAGAAAGCAGCCATCCGGGAGAGGGGGAATGCACATGGGCTCACAGGAGGCAGTGTGAGCAGCATTAAGGCCCTCCTTATGCTTGAGAATGATGAATTTATAGGATTAAGCCCTGCCTTATTTTCTAAAATATTGTATAAAAAGACATATTTACATCAAGTGGTGGTTCCTGATCATTCTTCCATGATGCATCCGATCCCCTATCCCTAGGAAGAGAAAACAAAAAGTCGAAGTACTGGTTAAGATTCTGATAAGCACTTAATAACTTAATGGTGTGAAAAATAATAAAATAGAAGACATAGCTCCTCTTAATTTTGCAATATACATGAAAATAAGAGCAAAAAAGGGACCATTTATATCTCCTTTACCTTGTTTCAGAAGATATGGGAAGCTCATAAGAAAAACATAACTGTTGGACACACATACATATTAGGATTGGGGTAGCAGAATAAGCCACGGCTGTGGTGTGCACAGGAAATGGTTTTGCAGTTCATAAGCATCTCCAGATGCTATTACTGGAATACATTCATAATACTTGAGCTTGGTTTATAAAACTCACTTCGATAAATGCCTATTCCACACCACTTATAGGTTAGATGCTGTTTCCACGTGCTAAGGAACAAGCATAAGGTATTCCCTTATCTAATATTTTACAGGTTTAATGGCAAAGATAACAACATGAAATGCTTTTCCTTCTATTTACTTGAGGAATATCGACACTACTCCATGAGTAACCAAGGCTCATTCCAATAGTGATTCTCAAAGCAGAGAGCATAAAATAAAGGTTATCTAATTTGGGAAAGAGGAGGAATTTTGAAGATTCTGAAGGACAGCATAATCATAAGCATTAATTACTTTTGGTGGAAAGTTTTATACTCTATGACCGACAAAAGTACATATATCAATTATGAGTATAATATCAATTTCTGAAAGGTCATTTTAATCTTATTTTTTAATTTTTTATTTCACGATCTGACATTCAATCATAGTAAAATATTACAAAGTATTAGGAGATGTCTTCACTGCTTTAAACTACATCTCAAAAACAAATGAGATTCTCAAGAATTCATTAAAATCAGTAATCCATTAATCTGTAATCCATAAAAATCAATTTACAGATGTCAGAGGACTGGTACAATATGAAGACATTACGTCTGCTCTGAAATTTTGATTCAGAACTTTGACACTGCATATGAGGCATTACCAGTGATTTTTCCACCACTTAAGTTTTACTTTTTAATTATCACCTTGTACCTATACATTTAACATAACTCCAGTATTCCTTTTTTTTGCATACATGCCCATCTGTGGTGCCCTTAGCCTGAAGTTTAAAGACAGAAGTGGGAAAAGTGCTCTCAACTAGTGCATTTCTCACTGAAGAATCAAAATCTACTAAAGAAGAGATAAAGTGACATTTCAAAAAGCACTTGATCTCTTCTTTAGCTTAGCTCCTCTCCATCTCGAAGGCAAAGTACTGCACTGAGTTTCCATGACAAATAAAATATAGTCTGGAATAGAACAGGCTTTGTTAGGTGGGGCCTCTACAGGATAGGCCTAATTTCCCAATTCTTTAGTTTACTGTTATTTCCGTCAATGACTAAAGTTTTGTTCTTGTAAGTCAAGAACAAAGACTGCTTGTATTATTTAAAATCCATTTAATAAACACCTTCAGAAAACCTTTTGGCTTATGTTTTAAGTTAAAATATTTTATTTGTCAAAGCAAAATATACAGCAACATCTTAATATGGGGAGAGGGAGAAGGAGGGAGGTAGATGGGGTAAAATGGGTCAAATTTGTGGTGACAGAAAGAAATCTAACTATGGACAGTGAACACACAATACAATATATATATGCCTTACTGTTAAATTGTACACCTGAAACTTACTGAGTTTTGTTAACCAATGACAACATAATATAAAATAAAATAAATAAAATAAAATAAAATAAAATAAAAATATTAAAAGCAGAATGAAATGATGATTAAGGCATGATTTTAAAACACACTAAAATCTTTATGATTTTACTGTCTATTTAATTCACCTTTATTCTCAGTGGTCATTTATAAAAATTAACCTTACACAACCTGAAGAATAACTTAGGCATAATGTTCCTTCAGATAATTATGTGGGTTCTTAAACATGAGTTAAATCAATTATTAGAACAAAATTTTCATATCTGAAATAATAAATGAAATCCAGCGACTTGATTTAATATATAAGCAGAACAGAGACCTTCTCATGCCCTACAACTGAGACTAGTACTTTTGGCATAGCACTACTCACTGACTGAAGCTCCTTTGTATTTCCTACAAAAACCACATCCCTAATGCGTCACTTATATTTCAAATTTCCAACTGAAAGAGAACTAGACCTAAAAGGGACTGTGTCAAACTGAGTGCAGTCTTCTTGGATTTAAGATCTCCCGTCCCTCGCCACCTCTTGTGTTCTTTTCTTCCACTCCTAATTTGATGATATTTTAGTGGCTCATATCCATTACTTCTTTCCAAAGCATCCAACTAATTTTTATTTAAAAAGCTATTCTACCTTAACTATATGCATTGGTTTATACAAAAATTAAATTATGTAACAAAATTGACTGATATAAACAGCTCTACAACTAACACTAGGCAACATAATTAACACATGAAAATACACAATAAACCAGTGGGAGCATAAGTATTCAGAAATATTACTACCCATTTGCCATAGACGTCATTCAGCATATGTACAGACAAAATTAAGAGCACTGCTTTATTAATTCAGTCAGCCCTGCTTATCACCGCTTGATAACCGACTTTGCAGTGACACATTTTAGGTGCTGCTTCTACAAGTTTATAATTTATAACAACCTGAAATCTACATATTTTTTTCTCTTGAGAATTATACAGTTTTATTAACTAGTTAAGACTGCGAATGTAATCCAAAGAAAAGAAATCTAATTCTGGGAGGTGAACATGCAATGCAATATATATACAACATACTGCTGAATTGTACACTTAAAATTTATTTGATTTTATTAATCAATGTCCCCTAATAATTTTAAATTAATAAAAATTAAATAAAATTAAAATAGCAAAAAATCTAAATGGTAACACTAATACTGAAGTAGCATGTATATAAAAGAATGTATATAATGTAAAAGTCAAAAAGTTTATATGACCCAAATGTATTCCTACTAGTTGATAAAGTCATTTTGGGTAAAAGATATAAATGATCTCTACCAATAAAATGTGAAAACAAATTTCGGCTTTCAGAGGCATTATTATGAAGATAAAAAACTCTTTGGAAGAGAGATACCATTTAACTATAACAAACCACCATCACTGAGAATTATTCTTAAAACATAAACATTAGATAAGCAAACAACTAGCATGGTAATGAAGTTACTTACTGTTTAAGTTTTTCTGTGAATATATACTGGGTGAAGTCTTTCATTGATGGAGCAAAATACATAGTGTCCTTTATTTTAATACCTTTACTCTCAATGTGTTCTGAAGAATTAAACCGTAACACATAAAATGGATGTGCAACAGGTCCAAATATCTCAAATATCTACAAAATAGAAGAAACATAAAGTCCTCCTTTAACGTGTAAATGATTCAAAAATAATATTTAAATATTAGTGATATTTAAAATAGAAAACACTGATAATTGTTATAACAAGGTACTTTTGTCAATGTCAGAATAAAACCGTACTCATATTTGTCATCTTTGCATATTCATAAAGTTTTCATATTTTGATTATAAATACATTAGCTTTTTCCAGATTTCCTTTCTATGAATTTTAAAACAATTGTAGCAAGCTTGCCCTTTGCTAAATTCAAATCATTTAGTGGTACCAACTAGATGCAAATTATGAATTTTTATTTTTGTTATCACTCTTTAAGTTGTAAGGTATGAAGAAAAGAATTATAATTAATAACTTCTGAGAGATAAAATGCTGTCTGTCATCTGGAATCTTATAACACAAAACTTAAAAGCAAGTTTGTGCTTCAATAAGTATTCAATTATTTCTACCATTTTCATACAATGCTTAACATTTTTATAAAATTAAACAACTTTTTCTAATTCAAAAGGTAGCAAAGTAGATTTGAACTTAAATTTGCTTATTTCTCAAAAACCAAAGATGCTATACAGCTTTTAATTTTTATGTGAAGGAATTACTTTTAGCACACAAATATTTTACTTCTGAAAATGTTTTATGAATGACAGGAAGTCTCTCATTTTCAAACTCTTCACAAAATACCTGTTTTTAAAAATGTTTCTGATAATAAATATATGTATATTATAGACACTAGACCATGACTAATGTCACTGTAGATTCTTCTAGTCTTTTCTATTAATAAATTTTTCAAAAACTAGTTTTGTAACTGTTCCTTTTTAAAACCTAAAGTTGCATTAAATTTTTCCATGTTATGAATATTCTTCCTAAGTATAAATTCAGTGGCTATTTAAGATCCCTTTATAGACCGAGTACAATGTGTTCAACTTGTCTTCTATTATAGATGATTTAGGCAGCTTCCAATTTGCTCAATAAATGATGTCATAATGAACATCTTTATATGTAAATTTCTACACTTCAGGTTTCCTGAAAATTGATTTGTCAGGGAACTCCATTACTGGAGCCAAGAGTATGACTGTTACTAAAACTCTTGATATAAATTACTAAATAACTTTCCAAATAGTTTGGACCATTTTAAACCAATTGCACTGAAAGTATTTGTTTTATTACATCCTCGGTTGGTTCTTGATTTTTTATAGTAAATGTTCTCATTTTACACTCTTTAGAATATCATTCAAGCTTCTATTAATTTTCAGTAAGGCATAAAATAACTCAGCCATCAGGGTACCAACATTGTGTAGATGTGATTACTCTAAAAACAACTAGCAATATTAAAAACAATTAAAATGCCAATGTATTCTGAAATAACAGTAATAGCATCAAATTTTTAAGCTTTTTTTTCTTTTAAAAACAAACGAATAAGAAAATAGCAAGAAATTTGCTTTGAAAAAATTTAGAAAAAAAATAGACCTCTTTCTTCAAACCAAATTGCAAAGGACAGAAAGAATATATTGGAGCACATCTCTTACTGGCCTACATTACATAGATTGAAGCAAAACATCATCTCACTTGTCACATTTTTAAAAAGTCTTAAAAATGATTTTCATTTTTTTAACTCTATGAATATCAACAGATCTGATTCTTTAAGTTTGGACAGGGATAAAAAATATCTTTAAAAAAATTACCTATGAATCCATTAGTACAAGGTACAATAATCATTGTTTGTGATCTGGCACAAAAAGCTGCTTCCCAAGGGCTTGTTTCCTAGATGGCACGATTCCATTTCCTAACTGAAAGAAAAAAACCTTAATAGCTTCAGGCTTATGCACATGCTGGTTTGAACCAAAATGTAAGTGACATTCAAAATTCTTGGAAAAAAATCAAAAGACACTTAAGTTGCCTATTCTTAAGATCCGAAGTGTTTACGAGCCACAGCTACAATAAAATCATGAAAAAGTTTTAAGTAAATTAATACCACATACAGCTGGCAACAGGAAGGTACATTTTGGAATCAGGGTATGGCACACACCAGTACTGAGAGGTATTAGATTAGCAGACATCTGGTCCTGTCCAAACGTCCATAGAGATGTTTGGTCCATAATTAATACAAGTCCTACTTTTTTGCATAGTTAATATAAATCCCACTATATTACAAGATTCGAACCCTGACCCACCTACCTAACCCTATGTCCCATCACCAGCTAGGCTACTGAGGCAAGAAGAGTTATTATTGGCAGTACAGCCACAACATAATTATCGAACCAATAATACATGATAGTACTTTTTATGTATTAATTATGTATTAATTCTGTAAACCTGAAGTAGAAATAAACATAATGAGCTATTTGAACCCAGGGATGATTTATAAGTGTGAATACTTTGGACAGAAACAAATATAGACCAAATGTCCTCTAAGGAATATGTATAACCTTACCCCAAATAGTCACGGGAAAACTTGACTGAGTTCACTCAAGCAATTTAGCTCACCCAAAGTTATAGAAAAAAAGCACTGAACAATGTTTTAAACAACTATCAGCTTCAAAGTATAGATTTTCAACTGGCTAATACCTGAGAGCTACAGTGTACTGTGAAGAACAACTTTAGACAAAGCAGGGCTCAGACCAGCCCCCTTCATCTCACAGTTCCTTAAACCTCTACTCCTGCTCAGTCTTTCCACCAGACTTCAGAGATTTTAAAACTTCCACACTACCTGACTAGACATAAAAGGAAAGGAAGGAACAGGCTGCGGAGATAGTGTGAGAAACAGAACTTAAGACAGTAATGTCTAAGCTATTTACTTTATGGTAGGCAAGTAGCCTTCTTTATGCTTTAAATAGTATATATTCTATAGAGGTATTCATATAAAAATATAATCCAAAAAGCTGTAATCCAACTAATGTTTTATATTTGCCTTGTCATTTGAGAGGTAGTTTTCTAAGTGTCCTTCCACTTACAATACTTACCATCTTATTCAAAAGCAGTATTTTTCTGGTAAAAGACCTGAAAGGATTCCTGTCACACAAAGGGGTCACAAACACACACCACTACCACTGCATAGTACAGACATAGCATAGGGTTGGCTGGGAAAAAAATTAGAAGCAGAGAAGAGTATGTTCAGTCCCCTAAATTCTTATTCCACAGCACAGGCTGGGTTTAGATGTTCTGTATGCAACATGCCAAAAGTCCTAGCAGCTGGGGCCTGCCTGTGTCAGCTGGCTAGACATGCACAGAGGGCGCTCCAAGAGAGAGAATAAGTCTCACTCTCTGCCCTCTTCACACGCACCGTGTCACACTTATGGGTGAGCCTAAGAGGGACTAGGTAACTCCCAGTTTCTCAAGGTAAAAAGAAACATATTAAGGAATGTCCAGGCCCAGGAACTCTGCTGGAGGGCTGTGCGTGTGGAGGGCCTAGATCTACATGCTGCCGCTCTGAGAACAGCATTCAAGGAATGCCATTGGCCAAAGGCCTTACTGTCTTTCTAGCTGAGCCAGCTTTTTGCTAAGCTACCAAAAGGAGGAAGGGGAAAATGAACATCCACAGCCATCCAGAATTGCCTATCAATCATATTATATACTATTTGATTTCCCATTAATAAAGAGTATTATAATTTATTGATTAAGTCAAATAATTAGTTCAACCACTGTGTGTATTATACAAGTAATTACACAAGTTACTGAGGGGGAAAAAATTATATCAATATAACACGGAGATTTCCACAAAACCATCAGATACTAGTGGCTAAAACTGTAATATAAAGCATTCTTTGAAAAAAAAAAAAAATCCATAAAAATTCCTATCCAATGATATTTGACAGGGAAATAGATCTTGTTTTGGTCTATTAAAAAGTAAAACAAAACAATAACAATAAAAACTTGCTCTGATAAATACTCCAAACTAAATGCAAAACAAATAACCAACAAATTCATATCATAATAATAGGTGGCATAGGTTGGTCAATTTTTTAACAATCCCTTATATTAAAGAACTAAACAATAAAAATGGAATTTCATTCATCATTTATCAAAAAAAACAAAGCATTATTTGGTTATTATTAAATCATTAGTAATGGGCAAAAGTAAAAGAACAAATCTGAGGTTGCCCTCCTAAATCAGTCGGAAGAGGCAGGGAGGTAAATGGAAGTGAATAAGACCAAGTAGATTGTAAACTCAATTTGTCCCTTTTTAACTTTATGATTTTTGAGGAAATGGAGATAATTTCACTTCCTTACAGGATTTCAGTGCATTTCTAAAAATATTCAAAATATTTATCACTATGGCTCATTATTACTATTATTATTCAAGAGCAGAGGGTAAAGAAAGACTATGCAAAAGCCTGGCATTGAAGACAAACTCATTTATTGTCTAGATAAGATAGGCTTAATGTCAAAAACAGATTCAATTTCATTTTCTGGCCACTGGTTTGTTTAACTAATACTCTCAACTCTTCCCCCAACTCTCGCCATTATTTTGAGGAATTATTTCGAGGTGGTTAGATTTATAACCAAATATATTTAAAAGACTTCTCGTTTCTTGAATTTACATAGTTTTCTATGTAAAATTTAGAAATAGATTTAATTTATCCCCCTAGACTTATGTCACATGGCTAAAGTTAAAGGTGTAAATATTACATTTTTATCTGACTCCTTTTAAAGTCAAATGACAGAAGAGTTGAATATTAACAATATTAGTCACAATTATAGGACTGAGAATGCAAATGTATTAGATACAAGAAATGTGAATTTACAAGTTTTTAATTAGTGAAGTGTTGGGTGTATTGAAATTAAAATTGTCTAAACTATTTATAGGAAAGGCAACTGTCATGAAATCATAAATAAAAGGAATTGTGGAAATAATCAGTTTCAATTCATAGTTTGAAAAATCAAGAAATATGTTTCCATTACCAGTCTCTCCTTCCCTCTTCTACTTTCTTGAGGACAGCAAGAAATGTTTTGTTTTTGCACCAGGGCAGAATGTTCCATTTCTCCTAAAGAAGTTCTGTACCAACTGGCACGGAGAGCTTACTCAGAGCACAGTCATCTACTAATTTCCCATTCCTTTTTTCTCTCAACCTTCTCTGAGGTTAAGCGGCCTAGGTTTTCTCTAAAGCCTGATGATGGCACTGGCAGTGTCCAATATTTGAAACAAAAGTACTGAGCCTAAGTATCTGAAAGGAAAAAAGTACAGCACCATCCTTCAGGCATTAAAAAAGACATTCTTCCCCTCGCAAACTTTTCTCAAGAATTGACAAAATATATTAGCTCTAGACCCCAATTAATTCTCCTTCTGACTGCTTTACAATCCTAAGTGACTCATATCTCTTTGGTGAATTAAGACTGTCAACCTAAAAAAAACGTATGTAGGTGGTACAAGGTGGCAGGACCCTAATAAAAACCTGATCCCTTTCTAATCTATGTTAGAATGGAATAGAAGGAAGAGGCAAAGAAAAAGGAAGGTTATGTGAGCGACTGAACAACATAGTTCAAAATATATGTTTTTCTGATTAAATGAAAATTAGTTATATCTCCTAGAATAAAAAAAGAAGCCAACTGTTGCTTATCTGGAAAAAACTAAACCCCAGAAAGTTGCTTCTCCAAAGAATAGTAGCTGGTTTCTATTTTTTTGTTTTCAACTTAATATACATTTACTTATTAGCATGTATAATTTCCAGAGGACTATATTTTGTGCAGTGGAGAATACTGAGGTGAATAAAACTCTGTCCCTCCTGCCCGAAAAGGAACATTTGGTTAATATTGATATTCTTGATCTTAGGTTTTATGTCCTCTGCTGACTGCTTAGAAATGTGTACCTAATGGGTAAACTGTGGCCTTCCATATTAAGGATGGACATTCAGGGTTGTTCGATTAGTAAGATATGAAAAGGAACCCAACCTTATGGTGAGTACTGAGGTACACATATTCCTAAACCCCTAGAATGTGCTTACGGTGACACTTTACTGACATCACTGAAATCTTTTTCCCCTTAAAAAGATTGCACTTTCAGCTTCCAAATGAAGAAGCCAAAACCTAAAGTTTTCAGAGCTGCCACTGAAAGGGCCTTGCAAATCAAAAAAGATTAAGAACTACTACACAGTGGAAGACTCCTGCACTTAACTCTCACTTAACTCTCGTACCTGGAGGGGAGGGAACTGTGTCTTCCTCAATATGAAGAGCCACTGCCTAGTAAAGTACCTGAGGAATATAAGGAAAAAATTCTATACCTGTGCACTCCAAAGAGGCAAATAAAAAAGTATTTAACCTTTTACACAGACAGACATGTAGTATTAAAGAAAATTGAAAAGGTACTAAGAGAATGTTCAATCTGAGAGTTCTGGATTGCTCATCTACTAAAATTAATAAACTCTTTTTAGGACAGATAGGGAAAGTCAGAAAACCAACAAAGAAACAGAAAAATGTGTAAGATTTAAATTATTTACAAACCTTTCCTGCTGCCTGTCGATCGCTTTTAAAAATTATAGTCTCCTCATTTAATGGAGGTAGGTTAGTCACAGATTCAATTATTACTGAAAAATGAAACAAAACAGATTACTTCAAAGTTTTATCAGAATACAGAATTTAAATAAGAGTTTAGGCTTTTATTCCAATATAATTTAAAATAAAACTTGAGGTAATACACCTCTAACTATTCCTCTTGGATAAACAAAATCTATTACCACATAGCACAGGGAAATAGGTTCTACATATTTTTATTTAATGCAAAAAAGCTACAATTTGAAGGAAAAAAGTATAAAATCTCACTAAAAATTTGAGTCACCAATTAAAAAGCCAACAAATTCAAGCTGTGTACATTTTCTCAAGCAATTTTTACCCAAATATGTATAATCACATTTAGTTATACAACTCCTGTTTCAGAAGAAATTAGTTTCTTTTTCATTCTAGACATTCTTTTCTACAAAGCACTGATTACTTATTATATATATAAAAGTTAAAGATTTCGCAAAAGCATCTTCCTCTAAACAAGAATGACAGTGCTCACAGAAATGATCACTTCCCTTCTCAAAAAGCAAAAGCATTATCTCAGTAGTCTAATATGCTCCAATTCTTTTAAGTGCCAGAAATGTTAAACAACTGATCTACCACAGCAAAGAGGAAAAAGTTTAATTTTTGAGAATATACATCACTACCTAAATCTTTTCTATATACTTCAAGTCTAACACTATGTAATCAAGTAATTATCTGTTTGACTTATTTATGCATCTTATTAAATACCTAATAAGATAATTCAAATACTAGTAAATGTAACGACTCGAGAATCAGGTAGTTTTAGTAATTATAATTTTTGTAAAAAATGTTTCACTTTGATCAAAATTTTGATTAAATTATAAAGTATACATTATCTAAATATTCGTTTTTTAAAATACTGATATGGACATTGTTAGTAAAAAGTCAAAAGATAAAGTCTCATTTCTACCAATGACTCGTTATACAACTGGTCATAAAAAGCAAGTGCCAAATTTTTCTGTGTCCCTTAAGCCCTGCATATTAAGGGGGCTGGTGGATAATCTAGGTCTTTTTCCCAGTTCAAAAATCGTATGACTTTGTCAACTCTTCTAGTCTCAAGTATATCTTGCCATGAGAGTTAATAGTAACTTCATTAACTTAAAGGTCTTTCATGTACCTACCTCACATCTTGGAGCTAAAAGAAGACTATAATATCTAGTTCTCTTTTAATCCAACAGTTTCATATTTCACACCAGTACTACATCACAGACCATTCTAATTTACATGTTTATAAGAGAAAATCAAAAGCGGTAGGCAGAATAATACCCGCCCTACATCGTAATCCCTGAACTTGTGAATATGCAACATCAAAAATTTTTTTTTTTTCTTTCTGCAAATGTGATTAAGGTTAAGGACCTTGAGATGGAGAGATTATGTGGATTATGATACAGGCCCAATGTAAGGAGTCCTTAAAAGCAGAGAACCTTTTCAGGCTGCTTTAAAGGTAAAGAAAAGGGGGCCATGAGCCAAGGAACGACTGCAGCTTCTAGAAGCTGAAAGGGGCAAGGATATGAATTCTCAGTTAGAGTCTCCACAAAAAAACCAAGCCCTGATAGACCCCTTGATTTTAGCACAGTGAGATCCATATCAGACTTCTGGCTCAAAGAACTGTAAAATAATAAATTTCTGTTGTTTTAAGCCACTAAATTTGTAGTAATTGAATAGCAATAGAAAACCAATATTACACATCGAATAAAATTCTGGAGAAAACGTCCATAAAAGCATACTTTAAATTTGTATAATAACAATGTATTTATGGATTACTTAATAAGTAAAAACTTAAAAACTGAATTTATCTGTTTAAAATTTATTAGTCAAAGTATGATTCAATTATTAGTACATGCTTGGAAAAAATCGATAATTTTTATTAATAAAGATATATACATACCTAATTGTTCAATAATACTTGAAACCATCCCAAGAGGCTTTAATTCAGTATCTCCAGGAAGAATAATAGTGAGCTCTTCAACTGAAGGTAGTTCCTATAATATAAAAAAACATTACTCTTCCTCCAGCTTCTTCAACAGCTTAACTAAAAAAAATAGAGAATACTTTTTTTTAAAGTACTAAGCACATTCCTGAAAATGTAACATTAAGTAGTTTACCATCTCTCTTCAATGTTATCCTTTTTAGTGTGACAACACTTCTTCCCCTCTAGTATCTCCCCACCTAAGTGATGCAATAGGTCTAACATCTGTACCCTAATCTAGACTGAGAACACAGACAAAAGTACCATTCAAGATTTTCCCAATCACGCTTGAACAAAAACCCAAAAACAATAGAAACAAACTATTGTTAAGAAATACAAGGTAAAGAAAAGAGACAATGCACATAATTCCCAGAGACATTCCACTTGAAGAAAAATTATTCTACTGGTCACTACAATTTTTCCACGGAAAAGTTCTCGTTCTTAGCTGCCTTGATTTAGTTAATCAATTAATTTGACTGTGATTAAGTTACTGAATAGAGGTGCAGCATTCTTTTCTGGGACGGTGTGAAAAAGAAATAAATGTCTAGCTGCTTCAGGAAAAAATATAAAATTCCTAGAAACAGAATGTAAGCATCAGACTGGAAAAGCTGTGAAGGTGTTGCCTGGTATCTTCCCTCTCTAGGTTAAACACTAAATTTCTTAACATTTAAAGAGTTCTCTTTTCTGACCCAGCACCTAACTGTATTTTGGTTGCTATAGAAACTAGATATTGAAGTAGAGATGAAGTAGAAGAAAAACCTAAGAATAAAACTGACCTCAAGCTTTAAATTAAATAAAAAGAGCTTTCTATATCTTGACCTTTGCCAAAGGATCACAATTAACTCTTAGAACAAAGTGTTTCCTTACGAAGCCTTAAAAGGGCAAAGATTCTATTAATGGCAGTTAGAAGTTAATCTGGGAGAAGATGACATTTGGAGAAATGTTGGAAAAGATAGGAAAACCTAAATAACACAGTGTACTGCAGATGAATGCATCATGGGTAATGATTTTCCTCTACAGGGGCTCAAAAAAGGTTTTTAACAAAATCATTTAATTAGATTAAAGCATAACTTGCTTCAGTGAGATGTTATTTTCTTATCCAGGATTACTTACTTACAGAGAGCCACACTAAGGGTCTCAACCAACGCAATGCAGAAGACTCACCTCTCTGTATGGGTAGCCTGCTGGTGTTGGAAGAAAACAATTGTGTTTTATGTATCAGAATTTTTCTGTACTTTTAGGAAGAGGACAACTACTTGTCATTTAATCATATTAAATATGGAAAGCCTTTTCTTGGCAAGACCATGATTTGAAAGTGGTTCATGTGTATATCAGTATAGAGAAGGGAGTTCAGTTGTTAGAACAAACTGGTAAAGAACGTGATATGGAACAGCTTTGTTTAAGTTCTTAGCTAAAGAAACCCCACACTCTGTTAAATCTAAGACTGGAGAACTATCATGTTGGGAGACTGCAGACAGGAGGGCTTCAGTGATATTTTAGAGGGTAATGGCGATACAGGTCTCACACTGATTCTGGTTCTGGGAGTGGCATTTTGTAATGACATTTTCTAATGCAGAAGGATAGTGATGAAATCTGCCCAGCTGCTTAACCAAATTACAGTAAGATCTAAAGCAAATACTTTAATTACTTTTGGGCTGTGATAATGCCTACTGATTAAATAAAGTCAAGAGTATAGTGGTAGAAGAAATGGTAGGACAGTTTCCAAAAGCGGAAGTGTTGTTAGATCTTTATGAACTGGACAGGAGGCAGACCACATGTCCTTAACACTCAGGAGACAAAATCACTGTTATTCCAAATACTAAATAACTGCTCTTTGACCACAAAATGAAAGGTTCCTCGTTTTGCATTTTTCATTAGGAGAAATAAATGCAATATAATTATGTTTTGGTAGAAATCTAAACTCTAATACTGTTTCAATTAATTTTTTAATTTTAAAGTATAAAAGTAATACATATTTCCGTTTTCAATAAAAGGAAAAAAGCACAGAAGGATGCAAATAAAAAATAAATTCCTCTACCATATTTCTTTCAACCTCCTAATTCCTCTCCAGAAACAGCTGTTGTTAGTCTTTTAAACATTTACTATGCAGATATAAACTTTCATAACTTTAAAATGTTTTACTTTAATAAAATATCGACATTTATCTGCCCTTTTAAAATTTTTACCATTATACACAATGACACGACATTCTTTCACATATATCTTTGAGTAGCTCCTGTGATAAATTCTTCTAAGTGGAACTGCTAGATCCAAAGATATAAACATTTTAAATTTTGACAGATATTGCTAAATTTCATTCCAAAAAAGTTATATCAATTCACACTTCCACAAACGACATTTTCCTACACTCTTGCCATCATGAGATGAAAATCTTTGCCAGGCTGATATGCCCAAAATAGTATCTTGCTTTAATGTGAATTTCTTCATTAAGCAGGAAGACTGAATATCCATCCTTCATGTTTCGTGGATATTTTTACGTATTTATGAATTGTCTGTATAGTTCACACATTTTTCTTCTGGTGGCTTATCTTTTTATTAATTTATAAGAGAACTTTGGTTTTTAAGAACATTTGCTCTTTATCAAATATGTAGCAAATATACACTCCCTTACCTCCCAGCATGTTTTTTAGCATTTTGTTTAATGAATTTTGGTATTTTAATTTTTATGTAGTCAAATATATCAATGTTTTCCATTTTTTAGCTTTTGAGACAGACCTTCACTTCACCAAATTAATTTTTAAATTCACTGATGTTTTCATGGCTTCTCTATTTTCATTTTTAATATTTGCATATTTGGTCCACTTGCAATTTTATTCTTATACAAAAGCAAGGTAGAAATTGGCTTTATCTCTACCCAAATAACTAGCCAGTTATTTCTCATTGAATGATCCATCTTTTCCCCTACTGACATGAAAAACAATTTTTAACATATACTAAATGTACTTATATATTTGGATTTTTTACTGAAATCTCCATTATGTCCTACTGACTTATTTCAGTGTTTAAACTGTTTTAACAACTGTGTCTTTCATAACATGTTTTAATATTTGAGAATAAGGGCTAGTTTCCCTATGCACTCCATCAATATTTTTCCCCTTTGAATTTTTCTAGCTAGTCTCACATGTTTATTTTACTAGGTAAACTTTAAAACCAGTTTGTTATATTAGTGTTATTAGTATTGATTAAAATCACATTTAACTACAGTTGTCTTATTATAGGTTCTAAGTAGTCCTTAAGCTCATTCAAAACCATTTTATCTTATTTGCTCTTATAAATTACTAGTTATTAAATATTACTTACTGCTATCATAAATGGATACTGTTTAAACACACGAAAACATGCTGAAATTTGTGTCTAGTGATTTTCTTGTGTATTCACTATATTACCATATTTTAAAAATATAAATCCTCCTTTTCAATATTAGGACATCACGTTTTTCACTTTTAAATATTGGTTGGTATTTCTAGAATGTCAAGCAATTGTGATGTCTGACACTTTATTATGAATGTTTCAATATTAAACATAATGATTCATTTTGACTAGAATTTTTTAATAAGATTAAAACGTATATATTGATTGCTATCTTACCAAATTTTTTTAAAATCAGAAATGACTGAATTTTATCAAATGCCTTTTTACTATTTTTTGAGATTAATATAATATAATTTACTCTATGTTGAGCAGGTCAGTCTATAAGGTCTGGGGAAGTCCCAATATTCTGCTCTAAGGATGTCTAAGAAACATCCAGCATGAAGAAGATAAGGAAAGATACACTAAGCCAGAATATTTGTAGTGGGCAGAGACTCATTCTGTGGTCTAGAACAAT